TTCAGCATTTTTTTACAGCCAACATAGTAGGGAATGTAAATTTTTTATGATCGCAATATTTTCGGAGAAACAAAACTGACCTTTAATTTTTTTAACAGAATACTGCGTGCTCTTTTATTCGTACTAGCGCGGCTTCTATATTCAGAAATGCATTTTGCAACCTCGCGAATTTCATTTTCATCGCGCTATTATCAAATCTTCATTTATCAGAGCAAGTCAATCAGAAAATACAATGAACTGTGATTATATTTTTATAAATTATATTGATTGATATTATGAATTGCAAATTATTGTAATTAATAATGTTATAAATTATATTCTACTAATAATGCAATTCATGCAGCAGAAAAGTACATTTTTAAATGCATAAGTATTGTTCAATATTCTTTGCATGCTTATCGACAAGAAATGAGTAAATTAGTAAACAAAACGGATATTCAAATCATTTTTCACATATAAAAAGATCATTAAATTGCATATGTTTCCTACAGTACGATAAATACATAAGCACCATACTATTTAACACATTAAAAATATTTTAAAAATAAGAACTTAGATTTACCGTTGCTTTGAGAAAATTCAACAAAAACGGCAAGCGAAAGCAAGATCTCTCCAGTGAATCTTTGTATAATATTATTAACACACGAAACGTTGTCATACAATAATTCCATTCTCCAATTTATGTAAAATTTTTCTTTGTGCCAGGCTTCCAAAAGCATCGTCACCATTTCATTAGAAAACGACGCTTTCATAACATTTATAGTCAAATTTGTCGAGTGCAAAGAGTGAACTTTAGCATCAACGAAAGAGGATAATAGATTTACAATGGCCGCGGATGAAGAACCACTAAAGTGTAAGTCTATGTAACCGTAGTTGCGTTTCGGGAAGTAAAGAATTCCGAGTAATCATCGTGCTACGTCCAATCCTTTCTCTCTCCTACATTTCCCGGCCAATTTCTTTTCCGCTGGTTTCCCTCTATCTCCATACCTTTCCCCCTTTTTCTGTTCCCGTGAAATCTCGGGGATATGGATGCGGTGAGCGTTTGAAACCCTGTACAAACCGATTCGCACAATGCCGACGAAAAGAAATAGATTTTCCACCTAACGAGACGGAAACCAACAAATAGCGATGTGAGGTCGTGCGTGCAGGTGGCCCACTGCCAACAACACATGATAAAACACAAGCAGCGCTCCGGTTTTTGTGCGGGCGGCGCGCAGCGGCTGCACAGAACAAAACGCTTTTCGTCCGCGTCTCGTCATTTCCATTCCACGTTCGACCGAGAGGAAGTAATTGCAGATTTTCACGAGGGCGACGAGGAGCTAGTCGTCTGTCGTTCGCGGGCTGTTGCCCCCGGATCCTTCGCTAATCGAGATTTCAAGAACGTTTCAGAAAATTAGCCATTGCTAATATTAACCGCTATTCGGATGAAACTTTATTTAGATAACGACAGTTGATGACGATTAAAAGAGGATTTTGATCATTTCAGGATTTTATTCAGTGAAATAACTAGGATGAACTTCGATCTAGAACAGTTTTACTTTAGTGATAAGAGCTATGCTTTTACCGGAAGCGAGGCCTTTATTGGCGATGCAAGAAGATGAACGCAGTTATTTGTTCTACTGTTTACGCGTAGATGACGCTGAGCATGCGCGCTGAATTTAAACAGGAGAAACTAAGATGAAAGAAATAAACGAGATACGTTTGTCAGGAATAATGAATAAATGATTGATTCTTATTTGGTTACTTGTTATTCGAGTTCTTTACTATTAACGAATAACACTTCATTTACTACTAACCAACAAATACTTTACGAATAACAACTTACTCGTTGTTCATTATTCGTTTACATTTCTCATGACATTGTATGCGTGCTGGGAAAACATTATTTAAAATGACAAAGAAATTTAATTTATTTATTAACTGCGAATGCCGAGTATATTAAGTATTTGTTATTTAATACAGTAGGTAGCAAATAAACTGTTCACACTTCTGCCGCATAAGTCTCGTCGACGCGGTTCCGTCTGCTAAACCAATTTCAAAGTTTTTATTCTGGTACTTGAGAAAGTTGGAAGTTGATTAATGTCATCTATAACTTTGTTCCATAAAATTATCATAAGGCACCAGGGAAATGTACATGAAATACCGCGAAACGCGTTTACAAGATTTTGCATTAATACATAATGTAAAAACAAGGACATCGATCTGAGAAAAAGGAAGACTGGACCGGCGACTTTAATACCACCGCGACGAAACTGGGGGGAGTAAAAGAAATATAAAATTTTTATAACACCTATACCGGGGGGCATTCCTATTGTAAAACAGGAATTTAAGTAATTCTTCACGGCATTTCGTTCTTCTTATCAAGCGGAATTGACGGAATGTATGCGCCTGCGTATTATTCTTTCCAAAATTAGCAGCCTATATTATTCCATTTAAAGAAACTGGGATAAATGCAGTTTCATTTCCTAGGTTAATGATGTTATTTAGAATAAAACAAGAACATTGTCAACAAATTGTCCCCTGAATAACAGGTATTCTCCACTTGTCTGTCAAATAGATATATAATAAACGGATATTCCCTAACTGTGTATAAATACAAAACATAAATCATGCATCTATATTTGTCATTTATTTGTAACAACATTTGAATCATTTAATTAAACTGATTCAATCTACGAGACAAAAGTTGAACGAATGACTAGAATTGTATTTACTATTAGAACATCAATTAAACGCTTTGGCGCACAAACTCAGAACAATCAGAAAGATAGAATGAATCATTCTATGAACAATTTGCTATTCCAATAATTTCATAGCAGGCTTCCAACGATTATAAATAAATTTGCTGCATTGATAACATCTACGAATTTTCAGAAAGGACCACTAAAACGCGAATCAATTTACAACGGAAACTCAATTTCATTTGCTACTAATCTATCCATTCCATTTATGGAGACAGCTACAATCACCAAAGTGTCTGAATTCAAAGCACAAAAGAATTCTAAAAAAGAAATCTATGTATAAGATTCAATTCCATTTAGTAACGTCTTCAGCCCATTCCACGAAAGCAATTCCAATAAGTTCATCTAATGATGATTACAAGAGGGTTTTGATCGTTTCAGGATTTCATACAGAGAAATAACTAGGATGAACTTCGATGTAGAACACTTTTACTTTAAAGTGTTGAGAGCTGTGCTCTTGCCGAAAGCGAGGTATTTATTGGTGATGCAGGAAGATGCAGTTATTTGTTGTTGAATTCTATTGTACATTGTATTATTGAATTCTAAAACAGAAATCTACGTATAAGATTCAATTTCATTCGGTACCAACGTCTTCAGCCCATCCCAAACAACCCCAATAAGTTCACGGCGTGCAGAAATTTCCAGCGAATAATCGGCGCGGCAAAACCGTTCGTAAAGCAGAATTTAATTGCATTTTATGCCGGTGTCTTCGCCCGGCGGAACCGTGTATTTCCATAAATCTCTGCAGTCTATTAATGACTCGGTACCAGGCCTCCGCGCCGCGGTTGCACGGTATCGATTGTCTGAGGGTTAAACACGCGCGAAATTCTGCGATCGCAGGCGCGCGGATTTCCCGAACAGTTTCCATACATATCTTCGCGGAGGCATGGCAGAAGTCGGGCGGATTCAGTCCTAGGGAACTTCGAAATAATATCAAAACTTATTCCAGTGGCACACAATCGAATGAAATTCTGGGGGCCGGCCGCGCGCGGATGGACCGCATTGTCTGCACGTGATTCAGCCGGTTCCGCGCAAGTTTCGCTGGCTGGGACGATAAAGCATAAAAGTTGTATGCATTCCTGGCCCGCTCGTACCACCGTCGCGTAAGTGTCAACAAGTTATTTGAAAAATGCGGCCGCGCCTGATTCGGCAGAGACAGATTCGGCCGCGGCTGGAACTTCCGCCTCGCATAAACTGGACTACGAAGGAGGCGCACGAAGTTATTCGCGGTTCTCGAATTACTTCCGCGAACTCTACTTCGAATCTTTCGAACAGAACGAATCGGACGTACCGTTACCGGATGTATGACTTGTTGGAGAGAGAGTTTCCGGGGAAAGTTTGAACCCTTAGTGTATTTCTCGCGTATATGAAGGTTGTAGGTGTATTTTAGTACATATGTTAATATGTAAAGATAAGTAAAATCTCCAAGTGTAACAGGTTTTATTTATGTGGAAAAATTTGAATGTAATGTGTTTTGTGTTATGCGATGTGTTGTGGAGTTAAGCTGTTATAGATTGTTCTACGATTTTAATATTATTAGTGTGTATGTGGAAACCATAAGTTTTCTAGAAAGGTGAAAAAGTGGTATTCAATAACTGAATAAGTAAAAATATAATAGTAAGTAACTAAATAACTAAAAGAAATAGTGCTAAAAATAACTAAGAGGAAAGAACACTTATTGCTTTCAGTACTCGGAGTTATCGATGGATGGTTACCAATCCAACGTTTTATGTTTGGTTAGTTGACCAATAACACATGTCACATAATCAAAAACATTGGTAACCGGGCATCCGTAACACCGAGTACAGAAAGCAACAGATAAATGTTCGTCTTTTCTCTTAGTTATTTTTAGTACTATTTCTTTTCGTTATTTAGTTACTTAGTATTATATTTTTCGTAACTCCGAGCAAGGTATGCTTAAATAGCGAGCATTGACTCTGCTTATCGAATATCAGTGAGTCCTCAAACTCCCTGATGATGCCAGCTGCAATATCAACAAAACGTCGAGAGATATACTCCCAAAGAAAATGATAGGACACATGTGCTATCTTTAATTTCTCGCGTTATAATTATGGTATAGGGAAGGTGCAAATGATACATAAAGACTATCGTCTACTAATATGCAAACAAAACTTTTATTGACCTTTCTTCAACGAGTTTTCTTAGTAAAAATACCATTACCCAAATGAATGCAGACGAAATGATAACACGTTTGAAAAATATTCCTTATTATATAAATTTAAAATAATATAACTGTACCTGCTATCGTTTTCTTTGGAAGTGCACTTTCTAATGGACACGGCTGACACTCGGAGACTTCGCACACTTCTCTTATATTTACATATCCTAAAGTACAACTTGCAGAACACAGTGACAACAGCAATTACTTATATCTCAGAATCTACGAAAGGCGTTACGGACTGTTTCTGTTTACATCAGACAGTTATTACACGACGATCCTAAGAGTGAAGTCCGTAAGACGCTCCCATTTATTTTCACGCGTACATTCACCAGTTAAAGTATTGTACCCAAGTACCTATAAACACGTATTTCCGAATCACCCCGTATATTATCTCGGAGTCTTTATACCGTATTATCTGTCGGCCGAAAACTCTTCCGCAGTGTTTAGCCGAGCATCGATTTCTAATATCCGTATTAAACGCGCTTCCTATCGGATTTCAAATGTGCTTCCGTTCGCGAACACCTCGCGCTACGGGGGTATATCGAGGTGTACATTCCTTTTTCCAGTAAATGTACATCGTTATTTACGCTCGATCCGGTATAATCCTTTCCTTTCAGGGCTAGCGAGCCGCGGCGCGGCACGCCCACACGGTGCACACATAAAAATCGATTTACCAGGCGTTGATCTGCTCGAATAATCGAGCAAGAAATCGACGTCGCACAATGGAAATATTTATGGGCCGCGCGAAAGGGGTGGGAAAAAAGAAGGAGGGTGGCCGGGGTTGGATAGTACGAAAGCATTACCGCAACTACGCTAGCAATTTTCCCGCGGCGTATCGAATTACTGGAAAATAAGAGGTATAGTCGCTGGAAAAGGGAACTCCGCGAACAAAGAAACTTTATATATACGGTCGGCGCGGCGGCCAATGCGGCCGTGTCTTCTTCGTGCATGCCTCTGTATGTATGTATGTATTTTATGTATGTATGTAGCCGAGAGTCTCGCGAAAATCCTGCTGAATTACAGATATATACGAAGCAGGTCACCGGATTTAAAAAGATGTCGCTTTCTTGCTTGTTTACTGGCCGAACAATGTACGCGAATGATTTATGTGAGCATGTGTGTGTACCTAGAGGTAGCCTATATTTGGGACAGCAACTTTTTGGACTGGGTAATTGTGGGTAGAGGTGCGGTGAATTTTATTAGAAGTGACGTTTTATTAAAAGTGAAAATACTATATTTTGTGGATTTGAAAAATAGAGATGAGGGAGGATGTGTTTAGTTTTTTAAGGGTGATCGCAAGGATGGGGGATGGAATTATAGTGATTTTTGTTCACGTTTGTTGAATGTTTGTACTGATATGCGATAACTATAAGGAGCATAGGTACGTTCGAGAGGTATAGAGATGTAGAGATATAGAGGTATAGAGATATAGAGATATAGAGATATAGAGATATAGAGATATAGAGATATAGAGATATAGAGATATAGAGATATAGAGATATAGAGATATAGAGATATAGAGATATAGAGATATAGAGATATAGAAATATTTATACCATCTTATAATGATTGATATATGATACACATATTAAGTCTAAATGCATTTTATGGAATTTATCTAAATGGAACAGAATCTAAACACATCTAGGTTGCATAAAATGATATTTCAAAGTACTCTGAAGATATGAAGAGTAAAATATATCCTGGACATTTCAACCTATATAATATACCATTTGATACTTGTTACGATATCTATGTCGTTAACTAACTTCTGCTCGAGCACTTTTCGTTTAGTAACAATAGTACACGCTGACTTAAATTAAAGTGTTAACGACAACCGTCTCGCCATCTTTTCGTGAGAATTCGCTGAAGTTTTTGAGTACACTTTAAGAAGGATAAGTTTCGTCGCACGTAAAGAGGACAGTACAGTTGTAAATGCAGTGAAAACCTGCGCACTGTTGGTACAAGTGGGCGTAAAAATATAGATAGTCGCATAAACCGTATTTCAAAAATGTCGGTGTCTGCGACCATTCCGGGAATCGTTTTCGAATATTCCAGAAGATCGTGACGCGACGACGCCATATCCTTCATCGCGTTTCATTGGTCAATCAAGAAGTTGTGTAGTTTGATTTTTATTGAAGAGAAATTTCGATGGCCATTGAAATTATTAGGCGAGAAGTGCGGATTGTATTACTTGTAATTGGTTGGTAAATATTTTAGTGAATTTTGCTGGTTGAAAGTTTCCAACCACTTAAGAACTTTTAACGATTTATGAATTAAGGGAAATGAAGCAATGAATTTCAAGAGTTTCTAATATTAAATTGCTAAATTGCAAGTTTTATAGAATAAAATAAAATAACATGAAATGGAAAATTCATTGAAGGCTTTACAAGGTAAACGTTCATAGATCAACAGCATTCTCGTAATTATCTCAAATTTTAACGTTGAAACGTGTAATTCCCACTTGAATTACTTCAGTAACTGAATAGCTCAAATGTCAATGAAAAGTGTGAGAACGACTAGTCAAGTAATTCGTCGAAGTTTTGTGAAGTTATTTCCGCGTCACCCGGTATGTTAATCGCTTACTGTTAAGTTCAGATTTTTCCACGAGAAATGGCGTCGTAATTTCAAACTTGAATTTTCTTCTGATGATCCCACGTTACACGGGATTTTCAGGCAGGAAGCTTATCAATTTAAAAGAAATTTATTTTTCGATTATACGAGACGGCGAGAGATGTCGATTACTGTAAAACTTCATGTACTTCTAAAAGAAGGAAAATTACGAGACACGTGACTTTTTCTATCGACAACGACTCGAGTTCAGGGGCCGAAGTTACTTCCAAAGTTTTATCCCTCTGATACTATCTAGGTATTATTGGAAATACAATAAAACGTTCCAGACGAAAGTTTTATAGTTACTTGATTCACAGTGGTTGGGTTGTATGCTATCCTAGGGAGAATAATAAAATATTTAATAATTCCTCCAAGAAGAGTACTTTGGAAGGTAACGAGACAAAGCAAAATCGATTGGAATGGAATTTTCTTTAGTCTTGTAATTGTTTCTCTATACAGATATTTACTTGTTAGAAACACATTGTGTAAATATTTCAGACATTTTTCCTTTTCATTCATTTACACGATATGTTCGAAACTATGAGAAAAGGCAGATTTTGTGTGCTGTAAATAGCACACTTCAATATTTCTTTATGAAACAGCTAAATTCGATATTATTTATTGTTTCTTATTTTCTAATTTAATTATAGCGACCAACCGAATTTTATGTGGTGAAACGAAGGAGTTCCTTTTGTGTGAAATATTGAAATAAGTGAAGCAACTTATTCGAAATTTGGAACTGTAAATTGAAGTATTATAAATTAATTGTGCGCTGGCTGTATATAGATAGTTATTCTTAAGAAAAATTAGTGTTCTTGGTGCTTTAGTATTGCCTGTTTTAGCAATATGTCGACGATTACCTACAAATTTCGTCTGTTTCACGCAATAAATTTCATTTTTAGATGTCCTCGAAAGAAAGTAATCGAGCGGCAAGTCCGGAGAGTAAGCCGACCATTTTGTCCTCTATGTCCAATCCATTCTTCAGAGAATTACCTTTGTAATACCTGACATGTTTGTTGCGCGCAATGCTGGGAGAAATACTATTGTACCATAAACAGTAAATGGCGACTAGTCGATTTCATTATAAACCGCGTGTACAAATTTTTAAACATGATACTTTATTTGTTGCCATACATCTTCAAAATTATATTTTATTAATCAACATCCATATAATCATATAACATCCATCTAATCAAATGAAAGTACTTTGTTCGGTAAGATTTTATTTGGTACTTTTCTGTTTTATTTAAAATATTATTTCATTCGAACTGTGACATTTAACATTTTCAACAACATTCGAAATATGTGCCTCGAAGTTTTGTTATAAAACAGATTTCGTATAAAATTGATTCTAATAAAAATCTTGTAAAAATACAATAAAATAGATACAGTTTTCTTGTTAATTCTCCGTTCGTAAACAGTTTAATAATATTAATAAAATACCATCTAAACGATATCAAGCATAAATAATTGCAAAATATTCAGGTCGGTAGTACGTATTTCTCAGAGTAACTCGCGAACATTTCCGAATGACGCTACACTGATCAGCAAGACACTTCAGAAGAATGTATTATTCCGTTCCAAGCCAGCAGAACGAGGTTTCCCAAGCATCTTCTTGAAAATTCTTGGCGCGAAGGAATGGTGACAAAAATGAAACTTCTGCAGCGGAGAAGAATTTATACAATACTCGCTTGACTAATTTCCGAACCTCGGAGTATTTGCCGCGTGCCGATACGTAGCAAAAACACCGAGAATATTCTCCGTATTTCTTGCAGTTTTCCGTCGATTGAGTTTCGCGTCGAAGCTGCCAGCTCCTCCCCGAGTTTTATTAAGTTTTTGAGACGTGCGATGCGCAATGGTTGATTCCAATCAGGATATTTCTCTGATAGAAACGTCTTGCTCGTATGGAGTTCTTCTAGTATGACCCATAAACGAGAAGCTCATCTCGCTTCATCGCCATTACTTCATTACACAGGAATGTCAGGTGTTCTGTTTATGCATTTCAGTTTATGCAACAATAACTTTGGAATTTTCTCATTTGTAAACGTTTGCGCTTGACAGTGTTTAACCAAGCATTTCATCTGAATTCTAATTAACTTTCATTTCAAATACTTTCAGAAAATTCATATCTTTCCATTACTCGCAGTAAGAAAATGCGGGAATAAAGAATAAACTGCAAAACATCGTTAAACGAATTATAACAAAGGAGTGAATCGAGTTGTTTCGAGGAACAGTTAAACAATCGCTTAACTAAGTAATAATAAACACATTAAGTGCCACGAAAATCTTGAACGTTTTACGTAACACTTATTCTAATGTAGTAAAGATAAATAGTAGTACTCATTAATTATTTACCATCACAGTCCTTGCATTACACTATTATCAACTTACTAACGCTATTAAACATTGTCGTTCAATATCAGTCACGAATATTACAATTGTCTTCAAGCAATTTCGAAGCGTCGGTCATCAGAGTAATACTTCACTACACCTATTACTATTCTTCTAAACATCTAAAAAGTCTCAACCAATAGCAATCAACACGAATGACCTCTAACCACCAAACGACTCCT